GGTTTCAAAACTTCTAAAAAGCAAATCTTCATTAATATGTGACCTTAAATACATTACTCAAAGCTTGTTTAAATGAATCAGCTTCTTCATTTATAAAACTAGGATGTTCAGCCAGGTGTGGTAGTACACACCTTTAATCCCAGCACTTGGGAGGCAGAGGCAGGTGGATCTCTGTGAGTTCAAGGCCAGCCTGGTCTACATAGTGAGTTCTAGGTCAGCTGGGGCTACAGGGAGACCCTGTCTCAAAAAGACCAGAAAAAAAAAAAAAAAAAACCTAAGATGTTCTTTGTCATGAGAAAAATTATAAAAAGACAGAAAAGTATAAAATTATATCTTATCATTAATTAAATTTAGTAACTTTAATTTTCCACTCTAAAAAATTATTCCTCAGGGCTGGAGAGATGACTCAGCGATTAAGAGCACTGAATGTTTTTGCAGAGGATCAGGGTTCAATTCCCAGCACCCATATGGCGGCTACAAACAGTCCTTAACTCCAGTTCCAGGGGAATCCAAAGCCCTCTTCTGACCTTCGTGGCATTGCACAACACGGGTACACTCACATACATGCAGGCAATACACTCATACACATAAAATAATAAATAAAATAAAATAAGAAATTATTCCTCAGTGTCAGGGTTAAGGCCACTAGGTCTGAGGACCTCCCCAGAACCCATGTAAAAGTGGAAGGAAAGAACTAACTCCCTCAAGTTGTCCTCTGACCTCTGACATACACATACATAAATAAATGTAATAAAAAATGTTTCTAATTATTCCTCAGATCTATAAAGGTTGAACTCTTAGGAAAAAAGAAATGCAAGTTTCCTGATTAAAGTATATGTGACAGCAACTCTCAGACTCTAGAATTTTATTACATCACATCAAATTTGTCTACAAAGTTTTATCATTCAGTTCTACCACTTTCATTTTATATTGCAATCTGAATTAAAGTTCATTCAGACTAACTGTTCTCTTTTACCATTTGAAGTAGCTCTTATATCCCAACTGTGTAATGGAGCTACTTTAAGTCTTTCCAAAGCTGTAAAAATATGCTATGTATATAGTACTCTTTCACATGATAATGAATTGATACAAATAGTAAATATGAAGCTAACTAAAGTCTCAATATTAGAGTTAAAATGTATGGTGAGGCATGACTATGATCCTAGTACTAAGAAGGCTGAGATGAGAAGATCGTAAGAGTTCAAGGCCTATGCCTCAAAACATTGGGAAAGAGAGGAATAAAAGAAGGGGGAAGGGAGGGGACAGGAAGAAAAGGAAGAAGGGAGAAAGGTTTTTAACAATGACTACATAGGAAAGCTAATGTGGTACAATGTAATTTACCCTTGAGTCATAATAAGCTCTAAATCACGTAGGCAATGAGTTATTTGACTTGATGCTCTGAAGAAAATAATTGCAACAGCATCTTTGCACTTGAAATTCAGTACACTACCAACAAAGTAGGACAGCTGATTGCTTCTTTTAGTATGTGAATCATTAGCAATTATAAAATACTCCTAAAATTAAAGATTACCTTTTCTGATACATCAATATATAGAGAAAGAATTACCTTAATATATAAATGACTGATCTCCTGAGCATAGGAAAAACACAATAGAGATTTGAAGAATGTAGGAACAACTCTAAGCTTTATTCTCCTAAAACCCAATGTTTACACACATGAAAACTCACAAAATCCAAATTTGAAATGACTATATCAAAGCAAATTAAAGAAGCAAGAATTTTATCTCTTAGAATACAGAGTAATACGAGTCCTAGGGACTTTTAGTATTTTAGAACACTTAGAGAATCACTTAAGTTCAAGACAAAAATAATTCTGGTATATATAGTTTAAATATTTCTATACATTGAATGATTTGTAGAAAAGGTAGGGGAAAATTATACTAGAATACTTACACACAAAGGTCTCTACATGTGTGCACAAGTCACCACATTTAGGACAACGCAACTGGTTTCCACCTTTCCCAGAATTCCCAGAGCTTGACTTCTTACTGTTTCCTTCACTCACTGATTTCTAAGGTTTAGGAAGAAGAAAAAGACAGTGTCAACCATTAGTTTCAGGCACCATTTTATATCCAGCTTAACTATAAACAACAGTTTGTAATTAATCTCAAAATGTTTACAATCTTTAGAATAGAATTACGAGTATAGCTCAAAACCTCTACTGCCACCGGTGTCAAAAGATCCATTTACCACAACAGTCAGATCAGTTCTAGTACACTCATGCATTGTCTGAAGACCCTTTTTTGATTTTTGTCTTTTTGAGACAGGATCTCCCTGTAGCCCCAGCTGTCCTGGAACTCACTATGTAGACCAGGCTGGCCTTGAACTTACAGAGATCCACCTGCCTCTGCTTCTCGAGCGCTGGGATTAAAGGTGTGCACCACCACACTCAGCCTTAAAGACATTTTTAAACACCCAATAAATGTACAATAAATAGCTTTCTTTCAATGATTCAAGCATAAGGGAGAAAAAGTTACTCCATGCAAAGCACTACTTTTTGATGAAATTAATCAAGAGTTAACATGACAGACAACTATTAAGATTCCTCTTTGGTTTATTTGAGGCTCTCACTCTGTAGCCCAGGTTGGCGTCAAACTCCTGGCACTTCTCCTGCCTCAACTTCCTGAGCAATGAGATTATAGATGTGAGCCACCAGCCTCATATTCATATAAGTAGCTTTTTTCATCTTTTAAATGTCACTACAGAGTCTCTACCAGGATTAAGTATGGAAATGAAAATGACTAGCATTTTATCTGGTATACAATACTAGCTCAAGCTGGGCATGGTGGCGCACGCCTTTAATCCCAGCGCTCCAGAGGCAGAGGCAGGCGGATCTCTGTGAGTTCAAGGCCAGCCTGGTCTACATAGTGAGTTCCAGGACAGCTGGGGCTACAGACAGACCCTGTCTCAAAAAGACCAAAAAAATTTTTTTTAAAAAGTTACACATTGTGATCCAATTCACACACTGAAAAAAATTGATAACACTTTCTCAGTATAATCACTAATCATACTACTTGTAGTTAAGAGTACAGTTCAAGCGGGGCTTGGTGGCGCACACCTGTAGTCCCAGCACTTGGGAGGCAGAGGCAGGTGGATCTCTGTGAGTTCAACGCCAGCCTGGTCTACATAGTGAGTTCTAGGACAGCTGGGGCTGCAGGGAGACCCTGTCTCAAAAAGACACCCCCCCCAAAAAAAAATTAATAAGAGTATAGTTCAATGGGTCTGGAGATGTGGCTCAGTGGTTAAGAACACTGGTTATTTATTCTTGCAAAAGACCCAGGTTCTAATCTCAGCACCCACATGGCAGCTAACAACTGTCAGTAACTCCAGTTCCAGGGGATCCGACAGCCTCTTCTGTCCTCTGCGGGCATTGCAGGACACGGGTGCACTTACCTACACAAGGCAATACACGCATATACATAAAATAAAAATGATAAATAAAATATTTAAAAGTACAAGCCAGGCGTGGTAGTGCACGCCTTTAATTCCAGCACTTGAAAGCAGGAAATGATGGATTCCTAATCAGTCTTACTACCTACATAGATTATTTACTGACATTTTTATTACTACTTTGGGATGTCTAAACTTTACTTAGTGCTAAGTGTAGCAGGAGGCCTCCAAAGATGGCGCGGACCCAGAGCCCTGGGATTCAGGGAGAATTCACTTCATTTCTTGGTCCGCAAAGAGCCCACCAAAAGGAGCCCATGCCTCTGTACCCTGCTCATGAGCCAGTGACTGCTGACAGACTGCGTGGCTCAGACCAATCAGAAAACGATACGCTGACTAAAGGGACTTGGGGGCGGAGAAAAGGGAAATATAAGGCCTGCCCCCTCCTGCATTAAACAAGCCTACAGCACCTCTCCTAGTGCGGGTCTGTGTGTCGTGACTCCGCGCCTCTTGCCCCCACTAATCGGCAGGGGACCCGATCCAGGTGAGGGTCTTCACAGCTGGCCTGAGAAGAACCTGCAACAACTAAGCACAATGTTTATCAAAGTATTTCATAGTACAAATGAAGCACAAAATAAACTGGGCATGATGGACCCATACCTACATCTAGCACTCAGAAGGCTGAAGTAGGAGGATCCCACCCAAACCTGTCTGAGTTACAAACCAAGTTCCAGGACAGCCTAAGTTAATAGTGACACTCTGCCTGAAAAAACATTAAAAAAAAAAAAGGGGGGGGGGGCTGGGCATGATGGCACACCCCTTTGATTCCAACACTGGGGAGGCAGAGGCAGGCAGATGTCTGTGAGTTCAAGGCCAACCTGGTCTACATAGCAAGTTCCAGGCCAGCTGGGGCTACAGGGAGACCCTGTCTCCATAAGACAACAAAACAAATAGAACTCTTCAGATCATTTTATATAATTTGTATTTCTTACATCATACACTTATGCTAAGAGGATATTAATACTATTATATTTAGATCTTTAAAGGCAGGAAATGTGTAGATATGAATAAAGAAAAATAACCTTATTTCCATCTCCAGAACCATCTTTATTTGTCCCATCTTTTGAAGCAAAGTATGCTCGTGTTTCAGAAAAGGTTCTAAGAGGAGCTCTTCGCAGAATCTGAGTGTCAAAGGTCCCCAACCTTCCTAAAACTGGTACCTGAATTCGACCACAAGAAATACCTAGGGGATTGAAAAAAAAACTATTAGTTTACGTACATTAGTGTACATCAGTACACTTCAATCCCTGTAAATTAAAGTTGAACACAAAGGGGTTTAAAAAAGTTAATTTTAACAGCAGTAATACACACCAAGAGAAAAAAGAATGACACCATCAGTGGCAAAGTCTCCCAAGAACAAGCCATGCCTCTTCTGAGTGAGTCCAGCTAAGTAAATTTTTTCTGGATCTGTCCATTAAAAGTGAGGCAAGATCACCAAGGTCGTAACAATGCATGACTTTTTAAAACTATAACAGAAGTTTAAAACTTCCTTTATCTGTAGGTTTGTGAAAAAGGCTTTTCATGTTCTTTATTTGTGTTTTTCACATACTACTGCTATTCTGGAGAATCTGAGAGCAATGTTTGTCTCCTTGGTTACCTAGGGTAGTGTCACTTTAAGTGTTCTTTTAAAATTATGTGCTTTTCCACCTATATGAGGTTCTTAGAAAATCAGAGACTGAGCAGAATGGTGGTTGTTAGGGTAGGAGGAATGGATAGTGATGGTTGAACAACATTGTAAATGTGCTTAATACCATAAAACTACACATTTTTAAAAGGTTAAGACAAGCCAAGGGTGATGGTACACATCTTTATCCCAGCCCTTAGGAGGTAAAAGCAGGCAGATCTCTATGAGTTCCAGGCCAGCTTAGTCTACATAGTGAGACCTTGTCTCACTTGTATTTAACTTAAATAAATAAATGGTTAAAACAGTAAATTTTGTCATGTATAGTTAATGGTGAGACTCTGCCTCAAAAAATTGGAGGAAAGCCAGGTGTGGTGGCATACATCTTTAATCCCAGCACTCTGGAGGCAGAGGCAGGTGGATCTTTGTGAGTTTGAGGCCAACTGGGTCTACATGACTTCCAAGCTAGTCATGGTAACACAGTAAGTTCCTGCTTCAAAATAATAAATTAAATAAATAAATAAATAAATAAAATCTTTAAAACTGGGGGCTGCAGATCTAGTTGGTAGAATTCACACCTAGCATGCACAAAGCCATCTCCAACACCTAAAACTGGTCATAGCATTTCAAGGTCATTCTCAGCTACATAGCAAGTTAAAGGCCAGCCTGAGATACATGAGACCTTGTCTTAAAACATAACAATGGGGGCTGGAGAGATGGCTTAGTGGTTAAGAACACTGGCTGGACATGGTGAGGGTGGGGGTGGAGGGGGCCTCTCTAGCCTATGGCCTGTGTCTATGGTCTGGCCAGTAGAGTCCAGCTGCCCGGGATCGAGCCCGGGTATATGGCACCGCAGGAACTGGCTCCCAGGTCCTGATAACGGACCGCCACCCCAGTTCTTGGTCGGCAGAAGGGTATCCCCTGATCCAAGAATGGCCACCTCTTGATATAAGCCAGTGGCTGAAATTGGTGTCGGAGCCTATGGGATGGTGTACAAGGCCCGTGGATCCCCACAGTGGTCACTCTGTGGCCCTCAAGAGCGTGAGAGTCCCCAATGGAAGAGCAGCTGGAGGGGGCCTTCACATCAGCACAGTTCGTGAGGTGGCCTTACTGAGGAGGCTAGAGGCTTTGAGCACCCCAATGTTGTCTGGCTGATGGATGTCTATGCTACTTCCCGAACTGACCACGATATCAAAGTGACCCTAGTGTTTGAGCATATAGACCAGGACCTAAGGACATACTTGGACAAAGCACCCCACCAGGCTTGCCAGTTGAGATCATCGAGGATCTGATGCACCAGTTTCTAAGAGGCCTAGATTTCCTTTATGCAAATTGCATTGCTCACTGAGACCTGAAGCCAGAGAACATTCTGGTGACAAGCAATGGAACAGTCAAGCTGGCTGACTTTGGCCTGGCCAGAATCTACAGCTACCAGATGGCCCTTATACCTGTAGTTGTTATACTCTGGTACCACGCTCCTGAAGTCCTTCTGCAATCTACATATGCAACACCTGTGGACATGTGAAATGTTGGCTGTATCTTTGCAGAGATGTTTCGTCGAAAGCCTCACTTCTGTGGCAACTCAGCTGACCAGCTGGGCAAAATCTTTGATCTGATCGGATTACCTCCAGAAGATGACTGGCCTCGAGATGTATCTCTACCCAGAGGAGACTTTTCCCCCAGAGGGCCTCAGCCTGTGCAGTCAGTGGTCCAGAGAAGAGTCTGGAGCACAGCTGCTTCGGTTGGAAATGCTGACTTTTAACCCACATAAGCGAATCTCTGCCTTCTGAGCCCTGCAGCACTCTTACCTACACAAGGAAGAAGCTGATCCTGAGTGAGCAGTACAGGGGCTGCCTTTCCCCATTCTGGACACTTGAGTAGAGAGAATCCCACCACCAAAGCAAACTCTGCCTTCCCTGAAGCCATGCCTCCCTTCAACTTTTCACTGAGAATATTTTTATGCCTTGAATGACAACCCCCTCCCCCACCCTTCTTATTCCTCTACACTAAAGGGTATATCCTCTTTTCTTCCCTACTTTAAATTGGGATCCCTTTTTATACAGCAAAACAAAACAAGACAAAGAAAAAAAACAAAACAAAACACTGGCTGTTCTTGCAGAAGACCCGGGTTCATATCCCAGCACCCACATGGCAACTAACAACTGTCTGTAACTCCAGTCCCAGGGGATCTGACAGCCTCTTCTGTCCTCCACCGGCATTGCATGACACGGTACACTCACCTATATGCAGGCAATACAGGCGTACACAAAATAAAATTAAATTTAAAAAAGAAACAAACAAACAAAAAAAACAATGAAGCCAGGCATGATGGTACACGTCTTTAATCCCAGCACTTGGGAGGCAGAGGCAGGTGGATCTTTATGAGTTCCAGGCCAGCTGGGGCTACAGGGAGACCCTGTCTCAAAAAGAAAAAAAAATTTAAAATAAAAAATAAAATAAAACCCCACACATTTTGGCAGCTGTGGTGTCACAATACCTATAATCCTAGCACAAGGCTCAGGAATTCAAGACCAGTCTTCTAATACATTGTATCCAAATAAAAAAAGTGGTTTAAAAATTATGCCTTTCAAGTTGGCATTATAGCATAGGTTATAACCCCAGTAAAGGAGTATCAGAAGTTCCAGGATAGCCTAGACTATATGACACTTTGACAAATAAGAGGAAGTTGAGGATGCAGATCAGTTGGCAGTCCTTGCCTAGCATACATGAAGCCCTAGGTTTGATCCCCAGCACTGCATGAAACCAGAATTGATGGCACACACCTATAATCTCAGCACATCCACAGCCGGATGTAAGAAAATCATAAATTCAGGGTCATCCTTAGCTATGTGACAAGCTAGAGAACAGCTGGAAATATATAAACACGGGGGGTGGAAGGGGCCTGGAGAGATGGCTCAGTGGTTAAGAGCACCAGCTGCTCTTGCAGAGGCCTGGAGTTCAAATTCCAACACCTACATGGTGGCTATCAACCATCTATAACTCCAGTTCCAGGGGATCTAATGCCCTCTTCTGTCCTCTGTATCTGTAGGCACTATATGACATGAGTGCACTTAGATACGTTCAAGCAAAATATTCATACACAAAAAAATCAGGGGCTGGAGAGATGGCTCAGCAGTTCATGACATGGATGCACTCACGTACATGCAGGCAATACATGCATACACATAAAATAAAAAATAAAATAAAATAAAATTAAATTAAAATAAAATAAACAAAATAAAATTAAAAAAAATTTTTTATTTGGTCTTTTTGAGACAGGGTCTCCCTGTAGTCCCAGCTGTCCTGGAACTCACTATGTAGACCAGGCTGGCCTTGAACTCACAGAGATCTGCCTGCCTCTGCCTCCCAAGTGTTGGGATTAAAGGCGTGTGCCACCACGCCCGGTTAATCTTTTTAAAAAAAATCAAAAATAAAAAAAAAATATAAAAAAACAGAAGGCCTGAGATAGGCCAGACATGGTGGTACATGCCTTTAGTCCCAGCATAGGGGAGGCAGAGGCAGTCAGATCTCTGTGAGTTCAAGGCCAGCATGGTCTACATAGTGAGTTCCAGGA